TAAACAACCTGCTGCTGAGTGATCCTTGGGTCAATGATGAATTCAAGATGGAAATCGAAAGATTTTTCAAACTGAACAACAAAGATGATAGAAGCTTCCAAAATCTCTGGTATACAATAAAAGCAGTACTAAGAAGGAAGTTTATAGCCTTAAATGCCTATGTCACAAAAGCAGAAAGATCACAAATTAACAAATTAATGTCACACCTCAAGGAACTAGAAAAAGAAGAACCAAATCCAGAGCTATCAGAAGAAAAGAAATAACAAAGCTCAGAAATAACAAAGAGCAGAACTAAACAAAATCGAAACCAATAAAACAATACAAAGGATCAACAAAACAAAAAATTCTTTGAAAAGATAAACAAAATTGATAAACCACTAGCTAGATTAACCAGAAATAGAAGAGAAAGGACTCAAATAAATTCAATCAGAAATAAAAAAAAGAGGCATTACAATTGATAGCACAGAAATACAAAATATCCATGATTACTATGAAAACCTCCGTGCACACAAACTAGAAAATCTAGAGGAATTAGATAAATTTTTGGAAACACTCAACCTTACAAGTTTGAATCAGGAAGAAATAGAAATCCAGAATAGACCAATAATGGGTAGCAAGATTGAAAAAGTAACAAAAAAATCTCCCAACAAAGAAAAGCCCCAGACTAGACAGGTTCATAGCCAAATTCCACTAGACCTACAAAAAACTGGAACCTATCCTACTGAAATTGAAAGGAGGGAATCCTCCCTAACTCATTCTACAAAGCCAGTATTACTTAGAAACCAAATCCATGAAAGGACACAACTAAAAAAGAAAACTACAGACCAACATCCCTCAGATGCAAAACTCCTCAACAAAATACTAGCAAACTGAATCCAACAGCATATCAAAAAGATAATTATCTTTACCATAATCAAGTGGGTTTCATCCTAGGGATGGTTCAACATATGCAAATCAATAAATGTGATTCACCACGTAAACAGAATTAAAAACAAAAACCATGTTCATCTCAATAAATGCAGAAGAAGGATATGATAAAATCCAGCATCCCTTCATGATAAATACCCTCAAGATAAAAAGAACATAGCTACATATAATAAAAACCGTATATGAAAAACCCACAGCCAACATCATACTGAATGGGGAAAAGTTGAAAGTATTCCCCCTAAAAACCACAACAAGACAAGTATGTTCACTGGCACCACTTCTATTCAACATAGTGCTGGAAGTCCTAGCCAGAGCAACCAGGCAAAAGAAAGAAATAAAGGGCATCCAAATCGGGAACAAGGTCAAACTATTACTGTTTGCTGATGATATGATCTTTATCTAGAAAACCCTAAAGACTTTACCAAAAGACTCCTAGAATTGATAAATAAATTCAGTAAAGTCTCAGGTTACAAAGTTGATGTACACAAATCAGTAGCATTCCCATATTCTAATAGCAGTCAAGCTGAGAGTCAAATCAAGAACTCAATGCCATTTACAATAGCTGCAAAGAAAAGAAAATGTCTAGGAATATACTTACTCTAGGAGGTGAAAGATCTCTACAAGGAGAACTACCAAACACTGATGAGAAAAACATAGATGACACAGTAAAAGAGCACCCCATGCTCTTAAATTGGAAGCATCAGCATTGATAAAATGTCCATACTGCTCAAAGTGATTTACAGATTCAATGTAATTCCCATGGAAATGTCAAAGGTATTTTTCATAGATCTAGAAAAAATATCCTAAACTTCATATAGAACCAAAAAAGAACCCAAATAGCCAAAGCAATCCTCAGCAAAAAGAATAAATCTGGAGGCATCACAATCCTTGACTTCAAATTATACTACAAGGCGATAGTAACCAAAACAGCATGGTACTGGTATAAAAGGTAGACACATAGACCAATGGAACAGAATAGAGAACAGAGAAATAAATCCATATAGGTACAACCCACTGATTTTTGACAAAGCAGACAAAAACATATGCTGGGCAAAGGACATACTATTCAATAAACGGGGTTGGGAAAATTGGAGAGCCACATGCAGAAGAACGAAACTGAATCCCTATCTCACCATATACAAAAATTAACTCAAGATCGATTAAAGACTTAAATGTAAGACCTGAAACCATAAAAATTCTAGAAGAAAACATAGGAAAATCTCTTCTGGACATTGGCCTAGGCAAAGAACTTATGACAAGATCCCCACAGCAAATACAGCAATAACGAGAATAACTAAATGAGACTTAATTAAACTAAAAAGTTTCTGCACAACAAAGGAAATAATCAACATAGTAAATAGACAGCCTATAGAGTGGGAAAAAATATTTGCAACCAATTCATCTGACAAAGGGCTAATATCCAGAATCTACAAAGAACTCAAACAAATCAGTAAGGAAAAACCAAATAACCCCATCAAAAAGTAGGCAAAAATGATGAACAGATTTTTCTATAAAGAATAAAGACAAATAGCCAACAAATATGAAAAAATGCTCAACATCACTAATCATCAAGGAAATGCAAATTAAAACCACAGTGAGATACCACCTTACTCCTATCAGAATGGCCATTATGAAAAAG